GCCCCGCCGGCCTGCTCGCTCGCCCCCCCTCCCCCTCTCTCCGACCCGCCTATCCTTCTCCCTCGGGCATGCGCGTAGCGCGGCCGCTACACCCGGTCACCTGAATGTTTATATCGCTTGTACAGTGCAGTGAGGCCGAGTGCTGCTGCTCGCGGCGTACTGTCAGAACACACTACCTGCGATTGGTCGGCGGACATCTCGGCCGATGTCGTACTACTAGGAGATGACCGGGTCGGTGGTAACGCCATCTCCGCTCAGCCTCAGTTGCAGCTGTTGTTTATCCCTCCGTGTCTCGCGTCCGTCAGCGTTTGGTTTGTCACACGACATAACCTGAAAGCACAGAGAGACGAGGTGGCCGCCAGTGAAGAAACCCAGCCGTAACGCCTGAGACTAGTGTGTGTAGACATGCGCACGGCCGATGATAAGTTGACGACTTGTTAAATGTTACACAAAATCAACCAGAAGTGAAACTCCTGTGCTCCAACCGATGCGCTGGCCGTGCTGTACCATGGCTAGCGGTGGCAGCCAGTGTACTACTGTACTGTCGCCGCCGATCGCCGGTGAGCAACCCGCGACATCTGGCGGCTGGCGGCAAAGCACGGCGGCGGCGCTACTCCGAGCGCTAGCCGAGCGCCATCACCTCGATAGATGGCGCAAGCGGGCCGGTCGGGTACTTCCCCCCATTCCACCATCCCCTCCAACCCCGACGCCCGCCAGATCCTATGCCTGTCGTCTGATTCAGAAGATCGTTCAAGAGGGGCTTTCCTATACCTCCCGTATAGCTCCGTCCTTGTTGCACTCATGGACAAGGTATAGGAGAGCCCGTCTTGAACGATCTTCTGAATCAGACGGCTGCTGCTACGGCGGCGAGGCGTGCGCGTGGCGGGCTCCCTATGGGGCGCGCAAGGTGGGGCACTCAGCCGACTGATTCAGAATAGTATCGCCTCGTGTCTCCGTCCTTGTCGCACCCGTGGGGCACCGCCGCAAGACTGGAGCGAGCGCGCACGATGGAACGCTCTTCTGAATGAGTCGGATGGCACCCGCCCGGCCCTAATCAGTCTACCCAGTGCGAAATGAAATATCAATACGATATGTCGAAAATGTATCGAAATCAGGTACAATTTTATATCGGTTACGATACAATTTTCAGCACTTGATGTCCGAACGTTATCGTTTCGATATCGCGCCATAAACCCTTCTGACTGGGAACCTCTGCAGCCTAGAGTTGTTCATACGCCCCCGGCCTGCAGCGGGCCAGTTCTAGAGA